TGTGCATTAAAACCATTCAGTGAAGATGTCTCGTCAAGAGAAATGACAACTTGATAGACCTGCAAGAAAATTATTCAGGAATCCTAGTTTTCTAAAATTAGATAAAGTGTGTTCTCATTATTAATAAGTTTAATCACTTGTGCTATACTATCTGTGGTCGAAAATCTTGTAGTGCCCATTTTGAAAAGAATTTTACTCATGGTTCTTACATTTGAAGAGAATTGTAAGTAAAGTTTTCTTGTCACATCAATAAGTGTGCAGTCTTAACAATTTTTTAAGTTTAATTATATTGGATTTATGATATGGGTTTCATATTTTCAATTTTTTTTTCAATATTTTCATTGTTTGAATTTTAAGGAAGCTTGTATAATGTATTTTTTAAAATTTTGATGAATGATGAGATTTCAACAAATCAAAATGTCAGTAGTACATGTGCCTAGTTCTCTCTATCTGCATAGCAACATTCAGCAGATGAAACAAACATTTCATATAAGGTACAATGAAAGAGCTAGATTATTTTCATTACAGGATCGAAAAGCAAGTTGTATTATTATTATTATTTTTTAAAACAACGTAAGAGTGAGATGATAATGAATGGTGAGAAGAGAGGTGGCTTTACATTTGTGGTTGTCGTCATCATCAACAAGTTGAACAACGAAAGATGTTAGATTTTGATAGAATTAACAAAGCCGAGACTAAGAAAGAGAAATTAACTAGTGGTTTCAAATTTGGCCCTATAAGGAAAAATCTTTGCACAACACTCAAAAAAGGAGAGGATTAAAATTTTAAATTTTGGGAAAAACTCAAAAAAATAATAATAATAAATAAAAATTTTGTAGGGTCAATGGACGCCACAAGACACCATGTGGCCCCGCCACTGACAAGCCATATGAATAAAAGTAGAAAACGGTATAGAATCTTGTTTGAGTAATTAGTAATCCTCACTCTTCTTCTTCTTCTTCTTTTTTTTTTTTTTTTTTTGTGTTTGGAATCCTAAATGAATTTATTCATAATTTTTACGGTAAAAAACATGTTCAATTTTTATGTTGAGCCCGTGGCGTGCATGTAACGGCTTATTCGGATCGGCCCTCGGGCCCCCTTTCATTTTCTTGAAGCTGGTCTAAAGAGCATAACTGCACGGTACACGTACTGGGGGCTACGTAAAAGCTTCAATTCACTTACTTAGGGCTGTCCCTACTCACCAAATCTCATCAAAAGTCAAAGTTTGATTCATGGTGAATGAGGGTTTGGACTCTTAAGATAATATGCCCTTGTTTGGACTCCATTTTAATGAGATTTTGGAGAACATATATTTTGAAATAGTATTTCAAAAAATGCGTAGCTGAAAAAGGAAAAAAATTTGGATTCATGTGTGATATTATTTTATTAAGAAATATACAGTTGAAAAGAAGAAAAGAAAAAATGTATTAAAATTAAAATGGAGTCCAAACATTGTGTGTTATTTTGCCCACTGAGATGAATTCTGTTGAAATTTGGTATAGAAAGTATATTTTGACCAATTTTTAATGCTTTATTTAATCGGATCCATTAGTCGATGATCGAATTCATGTTCTTGCATTTCTCGTTTTCTCATCATAAATTAAAATTCTGTCCAATTTTATGCACGTAAATTATTAGTTGTTAAATTATAATTTATGCTAAATTTTCCAGCAAATACATCTATGTAAGGTGCTTGGACTAGGTGACTTATAATAATCGAAGTATTGGGGGTACAATCTTATTCATAAACTAGGTATATATTTCTTATTCAGTTACTGTTGACTAAAAACTTAAAAGATAATTGAATCTTTATAAAGCTTAATTATTACTAAAAATCAAGGAGTTCGAGACTTTTGCTTCAATTGCTAATACAACGACCATTTCATTATATTAGTCATTGCGAGCTTACATAGATTGTATTTCTTTCTTATGGACGTTAAATATATTTTTGTGTACAGATATCCCAAAAATAACTATGAAAAAAGATACACGTCCAGGCCATCCCTGTCCGTCCAGGACCACATGGACCCTGGACGTCAATCACGGAAGCACCTCTCGATGACTTTTTGTAAGATCTAATTTGACTTCTTCCTCACTTCTTTTAAGGACTTGCGTAGGCACAATCTACGTCTTACGGTAAGTAATGCTGCGTAAGTTAAATAAATTTCGAATGAACTGATTTTTTTCTTCTATAGACACAAGGCGTGGCATAAAATATAAAAAACAGTTCTACAAGTTAAAGTACGGCCTCATCTAGTGCTATTTCCATCAAATTTCCATGAAAGTAATGTTAGTTGGGCCTCAAAGCCCAAAAGAAAAAGTAGTAGTTGTGACAATACACTAGCTGAGTTGAGATCTGTTATTCAAAATTGATTGTCCAACTTGCTGTACATCAATAATTTATTGATACATTATTTTAAATTTATTTTTAAACACAAGTGACGATAAGAGAAAAATTGAATACGTTAATTTTAAATGACGTGTCATTGAATCACTGGTTGGACAATCAATTTTAAATAGAAAATCTCAACAGACAGGCTAGTTTCAAATAGTTTCCCAATCCATTTCTTAGCTAATTTCAAACTTGGATTATTCTATTTGAGTAGGGTTTACGAACAAACCACCCACCTATAGGGTTGTGCCACCTGTCGCCCCATTTAAATGTAGCAGGGTCCTTCAAACATAACCCTCCAAAACGCAAAACCCTCATGGAATACAGTTTTGCTACAAGTACAGAAAAATGGATAAAATTTTTACAGAGAAATACTAGGCAGATTTTTATTGGTTCTTGACACAACAAACACGAAAATTGCACCATACAGATGCTATCAACACAACACCTGTATCATTTCTGCCAATAATTCCCCATACCTATAGAGTTATTCAACGGAACAGTTTGCTACAAGTACAGAAAAAATCAACTTGGCAGATACTTGTCGATCCCGGAAACATTTTCTGGTGGGAAATCTTCGATCAACATCTCCCAAAAGAAGAACCAGAAGATTCCATAGCTCAAGAATCTGTTAGTGACGATCACAAACAACTAGTATATTATAGCATATAAATGGCACATACAGATGTCATTGGGCTGAACGTTTAGGATTCTGTAAGTTCTTGCCATACTATAAAGCATTGCTGCGTATATGCCATAACATCGTTCTGCTGCATATTTGTTTCTTCTGCCTCAGGCCTTGGCTAGTTGGCTTCTCTTGTCCATAGGTAGAAATAACAGTGTTCCATTAGTATTTAGATGCATAAAGGGTACTGGAGGCCCTATTCCCAGTACTTTAGTTGGGGTTGAAAGGATATATACTGTAGTTTCTAGTGTTACAAACCCCTTTATGAATCTAGTATTTTACAGTAAAATACAAAATATAAAAGTGCAGAAAATAAAGGAACGTGAAGGAATTTTCGGCCAAAGGCCCTGAGGTTCGGCGACCAACTAACGCCTACATCCCCGTTGAGCATCCATACGAATTAAGCTCGAATCCACTATCACACTTCCCGAAATGGGCAAAAACAAGTTACAAAATATGAGAGTGTTCTGCCGATTTTTGAATCACAAGAGGCCCTCAGAAATTATACACGAATCTCACTAAGAAATCAATCTCATCACTTCTATTTTCTATTACAAGATTTCACTCAGAAATCACAAAGAAACTCATCCAGTAGATGAAGAAAACGAAAAAGAAAACGGCGGTTGAAAGAGAGATTAGGGTTAGACAAAAGGTCTCTCAAACCCTAATTATATGAGGCGTGTCCTAGAGACCAATCCAACGGTCACGGTTATGCTAGGTGTAAGAGATCCAATATAGGACGCGTTTTGAGTTAAAATTGTATTTCCAAAAAACACGACTTTGTTAAATCGGGAACCTTCAGTTAAAGGGTGTTCAAACCATTGGGCCGGATCACACATTACATTGCAGATTATCAACGGGCTCAAGAATTTTAGCAGCCCAATTCTTTACATACACCATTCTTTACAGGGAAAGGTAATTCTGGTAGTCATGTTTTCTGGTCTGACAAGAACAATATCTCATCCAGGCTTGGTAATGGGGCATTTATTGTGAGGCCCGGAGAAGATGGAATCTAAAGCGCTGCAATCGTATAAATTGCTAAATCATTTACCAGATGCGAGATGCCTAATCAGTTTCGGAGCGTTCTTCGTGGCTAAACATGGTATCGTTGTCCTGTTTCTTTTCTTAGTTCTTGCTTTCTGATATTCATTTTCTCACTGCTTCATTATTTTCATTTCTAGAACTTTAGAATTTGTGCAAATTTCCATCTTACACACAAATTGATTCTTAATTTGACCGAACAATTATATGAAGTATCACGAGTTAGAAGAAACACGTGTACTTGTAATTCATTATTATTATTATTATTATTATTATTATTATTATTATTATTATTATTTATTCTTTGCTTGAATATGTTACCCTAGATATTTAGAATATGATGTGGAATAATATGGTTAGCTGCCGATTGAAACCTGTTGTGTCAATAACTATGATGCCGCTGAACACGTAATATGTCAAAAAATTAATAAAATGAAACATCACTCTTAAAGTGGCCAACAATTTTGGATTGATTGTCTAAACAGTTGGACTTCAATAGTTACTTTCCATCGGTCACTGTAGCTTTAGAAATTTTCAAATAGTCACCACTCACTAAGGAATTGATCGAAAAAGATCTCTTGTTCTTATTATAGGATTGTGATTGGATCCGTATATGTTTGGTAAAGAGAATAATCTTCTCCTTTGAAAATAATCAAAAATGGAAACTAAAAAATGTTATCCTGTTTATCACTCTGTTTGCTTCCGCTTGAAAAATTAACGATTTTAATGACATAACAAGCAAGTTATTGACATGGCAAGCAAATGCTGTTAGTTGTATGGCCCTTGGTTCAAACTACAATTTTGAAAGGCAATATCTTTGAAAAAAGGAAGGAAGAGGATATTATATAACAGAAAACAACTTTATTCATTAAAAAATAAAAATAAAATAACCCTCAATTTGGATAATTTATGTACATGATTATGCTATTTTTCCAGTGCCCTTGTAACAAGTGAATTATCATGAATGCATTATGTAGGAAAAAAGGATAACATTCCAGACATCAGGTACTCCTGGAAGACACCAATGCACACAATCTGAATAGCTCTCAGGCTTTGCTAATTGTTCTTCAGCTAGATTCATCCAAAACTTCTTATAGACAGAAGGGTGAGCATCTTTCCTGTAATCTGTCAACTGCGTTATGTTCAAGAACTTTACCTTTACACCTCTTGTTTCGAGCTTGTGTATTGTTGATTCTACAATCTGCATCATTATACTATCAGTGGTACTTCCTTGATATCGCTCTTTCAAAACAGGCTGGGTTTCACTATAGCAATTTCGACCTTTATCCCTGCCCCAATCTTCTCCCCTGCATTTTTAATGAATTGTGTTATTGAGCTAACATTTTTGCCATTTTTCTATGTATACAAAGAGGACTAATTAACATACACCCTGTGATGAGGTGAGAGGCTCATGAAGAACAGCTTCGTTCTACTTCTGTTAATGTTAATTTCCAGCCAGTCTGACCATGTATTCAAAGCCATTTCATAGTGACGGTAACTCCTTCCAACTTCTTTGTAGATTGCATCAGAGCTTTCAAACGATCCCCATCTGATTTGATTACCAGTTCAGCATCAGAAATGGGGAAAGAAATCGAAAAATAAAGCCAAAGTGCACACGAAATTCTTGGAATGTACTTACAGTACTGTGAGTTTTGGCTCCTCCCACCACACAAAGGAATCAAATACTAGTATATCTGCATCTGTCCATTGCCTAGCATGCTTTTCAATTGCATTAGGTCTTATTATACGAACTCGTCCCCTATGGTCTTTAATCTCATCGCAGTTGGATTCAACCAGAAAAGGGGACCAATAGAATTGGATGGTTGCATTGTAGTCCTTCATGGATTTAACAAAAAATTCATGACTATTTGTGGATGAGTTGACTATCAGAAACTAAAATGGAAGGTTATAATTATCAATATTCAAAGGCTCGTGGAGAATTTCGTTTTCACAAGAATTTTCAATACTGGGAGTCCCTCATTACCCTGGCCTAAAATTATAAATCTTGACTGAAGGGAAATAGCTCAAGAAACACAGAATATAATCTTACAGTGGCCTTAAAGAGGATGGAGTTGCCTTTCCAGATCAGTGATTTAGATGATGATGGTGATGATGAAGGGATCGACGACTCAATGAGGCACAACATTGATGTCCACTGGTTTCTATTCAAGGAATCACCTACAAATACAAGCTTTTTCCCTCTTAAGTTCTCCAATAATGCAGTAGAATTGAACCTTGAACAAAACAAAAAAAGAGAAAATAAAAATAAAAATACTATCAATTTAATTGACTAAAACTGCCAAGTGCAAACTTTAAAATAATCATTAATTTTTAATGTTGTGTGTAAATGGGAGGTAAAAAGAACCTCGGAAGTTCACAATCATGAGGCTGCCATCGCCATTTCTGATAATTCAAGTCTTTCCGACCAAACTTCTGACACGCAAAGTCAAGCTCCATAAAAGAACATTGATTCTCTTTGTACAGAGGGTAAGATATGTTATCATAAACCCATTTGCCTGAAAAAAAATTACAATGTGGAATAGAGTCATCAGGTCTCTTCTGTTGTTCAAGGAAGCCTTCACTATCCCCTTTTAAACGAACAACAACAATCACAAGGGCTATGAGAAGGAGGACCGCAATTGAATGAAATTTGTATCTAATTTTCCATGTTCCAAGAACTAATTTTTGGGTGACTGCCATTTTCTCAACCTGGTATTGCGTTATCCAGAAAGCTTAATCATCATTGAAAAACGAATTTGGACAGTGCCTAAATAACTTGCTTAAATGTGGTATACTTTAGCTGTTAATCTCACATGGTTTTTGGATTATTCACTTATAAGACAGTCAGTCATTTCTTTGGAAAACAGAAGACAGCTCATTCTATGTTGGAACATGATGGTCAACAACTCTGAGTACGACGTAGGAACAACCAATCAGTAAGAATATTGTGCTTCTATTATCTTTTGGCGATTGAAGACTGGAAGCAAATATCAAATATTCGACACACTTTTGACTTTACTTTATCATCTCTTGTTCAATTAAATGCTTAAGTTAAGTATTATTTTTTAACCTTCATAGTCCTCGGGGTTTTGGGGTTAAATGTACCATTGAGCACTATGTGCATGTTTGAGCCCTCATTCTAAAAATAAAAAAATAATTAAAAAAAATCATTTTTAATAACACTTTTTCATTAAAAAAATTTAAACGTAAATCCCCAAAGAAAAAAATCACTTTTTAATCATATAATTCCCAAAAAATCACTATTCTAAAACATATTCTTCTAAATAATGGGGCTCAAACCAACCCTATACTTTCCACGATGTTTACCATCAATTACTGAATTTTGAAACGTCTCTAACTAGTCATTGAATTTACCAAACCTACAGCATTCATCACTTTTATCGTCAATTGTAAAAAAAAAAAAAAAAAAAAAAAAAAAAAAAAAAAAAAAAAAAAAAAAAAAAAAAAAAAAAAAAAAAAAAAAAAAAAAAAAAAAAAAAAAAAAAAAAAAAAAAAAAAATT